TTTCGTCCCGTTCCCGGTCCCAAACCGTTTTAAACAATGTCGGTATCGATTTTGAATATTTTTGTCACGAACCGTCCCATTTGTCCCATTTTAGTTAGTTTATACAAAATATTATATATATATATATATATGTATAATAATACATTATTATTATATTTATATTGGTAATATAGTAAATAATTATTAACTTCATTTAATCATTTCAGACTTTCAGTAGTTTTAGTCTTTCTGTTCTGCATGCATTTGTATTTGTATGTTGTAATATATAAAGCACAATTCTTTACTTGGCCCAAAAAAATTAAATAACTAAACAATTACCCATATTTGTTGTATATGTATTTGGCCTAAATAGTACTCAGCTGCGGGATAGTGGAGAGATATTTATAATAATGTATGTTCACTTTAATCTTAAGGCAAAATTCTCAACCCATGCTGACAAGTAAGGTCATAATCTGACACACATAACTCTAAAATATACATATCAGCATGTTAACAATAGCCATATAGCTTAGCAAAAATAACATACTGCCCCTCATTTTTTTTTTTCTCAATTTCCAACAAAACTTATAAGACCTCAAGCTGAAAATAAAACTCTGTCACAATATCAGCATGCTTAAATCATCAAAGCAGGGTCCAACAATTAAAGGCTAAAAAATGGCACAAACACATCACATAAACCTTTTCCTTTTCTTCAATTTTTTTCTCAATCCCATAGCAGTGCATACAATGCCATAAAACCTGTATATATCACCTCTGGACAGAGCATATAAGTTGCACTAAACTCTCAAAGGTGTAGTTCAATATATAAGCTATAATAAGGTTCAAACCTAACATAAACATGCTGCAGTCTATTAATGGAATAAGTATTTGATTGAGTTTATTTTATTATTTTTCTTTTTTGATCCGTTTTGTCTCGGTCCCGGACCGTTTTGTCCCGGTCCTCACTGATACCGATTCATTTAGGATGGTGTCTCATCCCAGACCGTTCCCGGACCGGTTCAAAAAAGGGACAAGTACCGAGATAGGTCAAATTCCGGACCGTCCCGAACCGCACCCACCCCTAATTTTAAAAAAATACATGAATACGCGCACAAGAAAATTATAGTACTTTATATTTTTATTTTCAGTAAGTTGTCAGAAACGAATCTGAGATATTGAATCGGGGGTCTGCAAGCTAAAAAGGTTCATTTGTGGACCTAGAAGCCTGTCCGCACGTGGGCAGGAACGCGCGCGAGACGGAGCGCCCGGAGGAACCGCGCGTGAATGGCGCGCGGGCAGACGACGCACGCACGCAACCTCGACAGCAGGCGAAGAAGCCGAGAGGCAAGTGCCGCGGGCGCGGGACATGGCTCTTACGGGTGCCTGCGGGTGTGTGTGCGGGGAGCGCTCGACGTGCACTGCACCACCAAGCCACCATCGAGCACGCCGAGCCACCAGACGAAGGCCATGGTGTACAATAATAATAACAATGAGCTCAATTACCTCTCTCCAAGGACTTCACTTCGCTTCGAGAGCAAATGTAGAACGTTATTTGCGTTTTGAGGTCAGGTAAATTTACGGGTGCTTTTATTGTTTTCTTCCAACTTTTGGGATAATGCAATTATCATTTAGGTTCGATTCGATTGCAACAAAGTTCTATTATTATTGTTGTTGTTTTTTTTTTTTTTT